CCGATCTGGCTAATCTACATGCCTCCGTCGAAGGAGGCATGTAGTCTAGACACACCCTAAGACAATATAAATAATAAGAAAAATGAGGACCCCTCCCCAGTTAAAAAAAAAATCAGAAAGTATGTTGGATATTTTGTGGGATGTAAGAATATCAAGTTTTTTAAAAGTTATGCACTCAGCAAACAAATCTTGTATTTTACATGCTTTTCTATTTTGTATTTCGGTGGAAAAGCTTTTTGGTTGTTTCCTTTGTAAACCTGCATTTTTTCTTAAAGAATACAGCAGGGAGAAACATGAGTGTTTAATAGATACCTGCCACATTTGGAGCTCTTTGAAACCCCTCTCCACCTCCCTACCACACACTTTATTATTATTACATAGTGGAACAGAACATAAAATCTCCTTTTTCTTACCTGGTTAAAGTAACAGTGTAAGATACAGGCATTTAGATAGGAAGCTATTCGCACCAACTTGAAAAACCTTACAAAATTATTGCTGTTTAATGCAGCAAAGGCTTGAACTGCAAATCTAACCTCAGCTGAATTTCGAACAGCAGGATGAAACTGTTGCACTTCTCTGTTGAAACAAGAAAGATGGGAGTTTTTCATCTACACATTAATGACCATAGCTTAACAGCAATCTCTGTGAGTGGTTTTTTTTTTTTTTAATGGCCACTTTTAAAAACACTCATACAATTCAAGTTAGTATTGATGGCAAACTTTAATGCATGTAAATTAAATTAGTAGTAATACATTTTGATCATTTATGTTCTTATGTAATAATTCAATTATCATTAACAAAGATATTATTATGGCATCTGGGAAAACAAATTCATTTTAAAATTTTATGTAAATGCTTTCTGAAAAAAGAATCCCCTGTAACTAAAGTTTCATGTTTTTTTCAGCCCAAACAATGAGTTTTGAATTACATACACATGGTTAAATTAAAGACAGCACTGAGGCACTTAAAATGTAATGTTTTTCTAATGCATTTAAAATATGCCTGTGTTTATTTCAGCAATTACATATTAAAAAATAATATTTATTCAAATGTTTATATTCAAAAAGTTAGGTTTTTTTCTGGGAAAAACATTTTAATAAATTCCATCCATCCTATTTGGGAGTAGGGATGTAAAAAAAAAATCTAACCCCCCCCTTCCTCCCCAGTAACTGTGTAACCGTTAAAAATTCTATTGGTTACATGGTTAACTGTTTTATCTGGGGATGTACTGATGGAATAGGAAGGGAAAGGAGGACGGTGGAGGGTTGCCCCCGTGGCTGCTCTTGTAATGTTCCGTGCCCCGACGCCACTTCTGGGACACTGGATGCCCCAAGCTGTGGGCTCTGCTCCCAGGGAACTGGCTGCCTTGCGCTACAGGCTCTGCAAGCACAGGACAGCATTGCTCCCAGGGAACTGGCTGTTGCCCTGTGCTGAAGGCCCTACCCGCCTCATCTGTGGGGCACTGGTCATGCTCTTGGGGGAGCTGGCCACCTCCCTGCACTGTGGGCTCTGCAAGCATGCACCAGCTCCACTCCTCAGGAGCCAATTGCTGCCCTGTGCTGGCTGGTGCCCCAATAGTAGGGCTGGCAGAGCCTGTAGCATGGAGCAGCTGGCACATGAGCATATTGGTTAACCTGTTTGTACATCCCTATTTGGGAGTGGGTAAAAAAAATTACTAAAATAAGCTAACACTGAGACATACTCCAGGAAAAATGGCTGTAGTTTGACATTTTAAATTAGTATATTTTATGTAACTAAAAAATAATGTGAGCATCTTCACGGAGGATCTGCAGAGTAAGGAAGTCCTGCCCCTTTTATGATATCTCTACAAATTTCGCCCAGCCACCCTGCATTGCTTTTGTCAGGATGCATGAGGTTTGCATTGGAACATATAGAGGAAAATAGCTCCACAACTTACTGATGACTAGTGTCTTAACATCAGCAAAAATGCAAATTACAAAAATTGCAGTGAGACAGCAGTTTTGGAGTACTTCTGCCATTTTTGTTCCATTCTGCCATAGTCAGTAAATTCTAAGCTAACCAATACAAACCTAGTTTTCATTGGCAACAACACAGCCTTAACAATATAAATTAATTGTGATGCTACCCTGCCAACCCAGACAGAGAAAACTGCCTCCTGTCCAACTGTTCCCAGTAAAGGTGTGAATGTGACCAATGTTCTCTAATTTTTTCCATCCAAGTGCAGAATTAATTTTGTTACTAGCAGCAGTATTGAGGTAATGTGCAGGTGTGTGCCACCAGTAAAAACAAAAAACCTAAACATAATATATATTTTTTAAAAGTTACCACAGGGATATACTCTAGGCAGAACAGGTTAGGCAGTTTACAACTCAGTACTCCAAAAAATATAAGCATGATAAATAGACTTTAAAATGCATAGACCAATTAAGAACACTAAAAATAACACACTTTGAAATATTAAAATTACAGAGAATTTATGTCCATTGCAGGAAGGACCAAGAGGTAATAACACAAATACATGTTGGGAAGTGAGTGAAACAGAGTGCGTCTGTGTATGTGTAAGGCAGAGTGAATGGAGGACAGGGTCAGAGTGCACACATGTCTGTCAGCTGGCTGCTGGGAAAGTGTATGACAAATTGTGAACTCCCTCTTAAAGCACAGCTCAACTCACCAGTCTGAAGGCTCATTCAGCAGCATTCATTGCAGCAGCTGCATCTAACTCCTGAGCTGTGCGCCCATAACCCTAAGGGGACTGCACAACATCACCCACTTTGTCCCCATGATCTGCACAGAAAGCAGCTGGACAGGGACTCTGAGGCAGAGGGCAGAAGCAGCAAGCTTGGCAGAGGGGGGAAAGGGCACCTGAACACTGTGAAAGCAGGCTCTTTGCTGGCCAGGCCTCTCGTGCATATTGCCACCAAGCAAAAGGTCAATTTCCCCTTGATGAAAAACCCTTACACTATGTAACTTAAAGATCAGCAAAGAACAGGAACAAAAACCAGACCTGAAAAGTTCATGTAAAGTTCGTGCTGGTTGTGCTGACTGTGCCATGCCCGATAAGGCAGAAAAGGAAAAACAGGAAACCATCTCACCCCCTTACTCCTGTCACTTAACAGACAGGGTCTGCTAGCCTATCACAAAAAGCGTGCAAAAGCTTTCTCTCTAACAGCTTCCCCTCTTGTATCAAATTGAGGAATCCCATATAAACATTGGAAGGCAGAATATGAGCCAGGTCCGAGGACTGATCACCTGAGGGCCACCTCCCGCTCACCAAACCAAACAAGTTCCTGTAGAGCGTAACGTATACCAAATATGTTGTTCTTATTGTTGTAGTTTGTGTGTCTGTTAAATGTAACTATTGTTATCTGCAATTGTTCAGAGGTATTGTTAAGTAGTAGTGTTAAGAGTTTTAGATAAATGATTAGTCTTATAAGTAAGACTGATGTAAATGTAACTGTTAATCCCTGGTCCCTTGTTAACAACTATTGGGATTTAGAAAAACCTCAGAGAATTTTCTTTACTGTAATGCATTTTGCTTATTAGTCATTCTAATAATTATTTGGTGCCTACGTATGTACAAAATTGATAAAATAATAATTTATATGTAGAAGTCCTTTAATAAAAGTTTAAAAGATATTTAGTAATAGTTTGCCTGTTTCTGTGCCTCCGTGGGACTAGCCACATTTCCGAATGTTTTACTTTATTCTACCAACACAAGTCATCAGACATGTGCAGCTCTGCTATCAAGTGCACAAGACTTCACTGATTCTTGTGCAAGTGCACAATTTAGAGGGAAAATTAAATTGGATCCTCACCCTCCTCAGAGAGGGGAAAACCAACTTAATGGGAATGGCTCAAAGGCTAGAAAGATTAGAGCATAAGCTGTTTCTTACCAGGGAGAGGCAAGTTTTTGTATTTCTAAAAGTTAACAGCAAAGCCTTCACTTAAGAGCTCCTGAATATGAATTCTATACTATACTAATGTTCAGGAGGAAAAAAATGAGGTAGGTGCTACAAGGTAACAATTCACCTGAGAATATCCCCCTTGTTGAGATTCAGCAGCACATTGTAGCCTCTGAACTCTGCTTCACTCTTGCAGAAAATATCCTTAGTAGCCAGGTCTTGGTACATCTCCTTCAGGCTCTGCAAACATTTCGTCATGTTCTCATTGTTGATCTTGGCATCAAAGGAGGACATGGGCTCCTCACACAAGTGATGGGCACAATGAACATGAAAGCGAGTGCACTTCTCAATCAAGGATACAGTTAGAGGGTCGCACAGATGTTGCTGTGTTATATCCTGACCAAAACAAAAACCAAAACATTTGTAAATTTAGCAATAGTTACTAACAAAGTCAATTAAATAAATCATTTTGAAGTCCATCCAGGTAGACATTCTATTTTCACACAACTGTTGTATAGAAAGCATTTTAATTTAGAAAGGATCACAATTTTTTTTCTTTTTCTACATTTTGTTTAGTTTTTAAATTGCCACAGGTGTATTTTGCATGCTAGCTGTCAAGTGGGTCCAAGTGTCATTGGTTACCTTTCTTATTCCACGTGTCCTATTCCAAACAAAATCATACCACTCTCGGTAATTCCCTTCCCCTTGGTCCATGATCTGGGTAACTAAATAGTCCATGGTCATGCTCAACACCTCTGAAGGTCTCAGTTCATGGGGCAAAGGCTCCTCCTGGTCTGCTGAAGACCTGCTGTATTCCTTTATTGCAGCAGCATGATCCACCTGAAAGAACAGGAAGAAAGCAATGAAAATAAATATGGAATGTACATTAAAATCCTTAGTACTAAATTGACTGTGCTTACTTAACCATTGCCAATACCTAGGTTCAGAACAGAGTAGGCAATTGGGGGGGGGGGGGGGCCACATTAGTGGCCAAATCACTATCAACCCTTGCTGTGGAGGACAGCATCTTTTACATAAGAACAGCCATGTTGGGTCAAAACCACAATCCACCTACCCCATCTGTATCGGACAGTGACCAGCTCCAGATGCTTCAGAAGAAATTATCATAACAGAGAAATTTAGAGAGATCCACCCTTGTCAACCAGTCCCAGCTTCTGGCAGACATCTGGGCTGCCACTTTGCTAACAGCCACTCATGGACCTTTTTTTGAACTCAGAGGTACTTTTAGCCTTCTCAGCATCCTCTGGCAATGAGTTCCACAGGTTGACTAGACATTGTGTGAAGAAGTACTTCCCCATTTGTTTTAAATTTGCTGTCTATTAATTTCATTGGGTGACCCCAAGATAACTGAAAAGATAAACAAACACTATCCCCATTGACTTTCTCATACCATTCATGATTTTGAGATCCCTCTGTCACAGTGGTTCTCAAGTTTTTTGGCCCATGGACTACCTGGCTCAATGTGAACCTTTCCCCAGACCATGAGTTGTTGCTAATGGAAACTGACCATTAATTCAATATGCCCAACCCATTTTGCTAGTGCTGCAGCTAGGGAGAATGGTTCAATTCAAATTATTAAACAAATTAAGCATTTTAACTTTTTCATGTTAGTTTATCAAACTTATTTAACTGAAGCAAAATGTTAATTTATGTCCAACACAAAAGGTTTCAATGTTTTCTTTATTTATGGCAGGTGTGGGGCATTGTGTAACACCTGAGCTATTACCCTGTAAATTGGAGCTACAGTAGACTGCCTATAATCCAGCACCTTTGGGACCTGGGGGTGCCGGATTATCGGATATGCCGGAGTACCGGAAGGGGGGCTATGAGAGGTCTGGGGTGGGAGTGGGGGATCAGCAGGGAACTGCGCAGGATGGGAGAGGGCGGTGCTGCGGGACCAACCTGGCAGCACCCCAGCTGCTCTGCCCCCAGCTTCCCCAAGTCAGCTGCTGGTCGGTTTCAGCAGTGGCTGACTTGGGGAAGCCGGGGGCAGAGCAGCTCCAGTTGTCCAGCTGGCCAGAGCACTTCCCGGTTTGGCAGTGGCGACTTGGGAAAGCAGCGGGGCAGAGCAGCTGGGGTGCTGCTGGGTTGGTCCCGCAGTGCCACCCCTCACCTGAGCGGTGCTGCGGGACCAACTTGGCAGCACCCCAGCTGCTCTGCCCCATGGCTTCCCCAAGTCTGCCATCACCCTCATTAGCCTCCTTAGTTCGAACTAGGGGGCTAGTGTAGACATACCCGAGGAGATTAACTGAGGACATGAGAAAAGTCTTCAAATACTTGAAAGACTGCCATAAAAAAATGAAGTAAAACAATGTTTTTTCTTGCTACAGAGAGCAGGATAAGAGGCAATGGGTTCAAACTACAGCATAACAGATTTAGATTAAATCTCAGGAAACAATCCTAAACATAAGAACAGTAGGACAATGGAACAGACTATCTAGTGAGGCTATAGAAACTCCTTTATTCGAGTTTGCAAAAAGAGGCTGAATGGCCATCTGTATTGGATGGTTTAGACACAATCCCCTGCCAAGATAAAAGACTTGGACTAGACGACCCTTATGGTTCTCCTAACACTATGATTCTGTAATTGTTACAATAGCCTATTATCAAGTTAAAAGACAGCTTTCCCCTTGTAATGGGAAATGTTATATACCTATATTGCAGCCTTTCAAAGTGTGTTACTATCTGCTTCTACAAACAAATATGGAATTTCTTAGTAAAAACCCCAGTTCATATTTAGTTGTTGATCCCTGGAAGTTTTGATCAGAATCAAACCAGAGATTTATCGCAAAGTACTGACACATTAACTAACAATTCAATGACAGCAAATCAACAGTCACAACAGCAGCAGTCAGTATAGAGAGTCTGGTACCTTGTCAGTTCCAGGGACTACTTCAAAGATACTAAGCTGGTTCCTTGTTTCCCTCAGGTAGCGTTCTTTTTCAGGACACATGTCTGGGCATGTGCCAACAAATGTTTTAGCTTTGCCCAGATGGGTCCTTTTCACTCGAGCTAAACAAGTGTTAAACAAAAAATACTGTTAATTGTCCTGTTCATTTGTTTCCAACTGATGTACATCACCCAGAGATAATCACATCACACTACAGCCCTAGGTATGCACTTTCAAAAGCATCTCTTAGTAAATAAAAACATGCATATTATTTTTTCTTTATATCTTGCAGAAATTAATGGAGCCACCAGAACCATAAAGCAGTCAATCCGTAACAGGTAAATATGCGTTGCTGTGTACAGGGATTTTGATGCATGGCTTCCAATTAAATTTAGACTCATATCACTATAAACCTACGTGCTCACTATTCAGTCATGCTTACCAATGTAAGATTTCCAGGCCAAACAAAAAACCTAGTGCCTATTTGATAAGTCTTATGTTCTAATAACATCAAACAAGTACAGTAGTCAAACAAGTTTAATATGAATCTATTAATGTAGTCTCTAGATAGTTCCCTCAGGAATCCCCTGATTCCTTCTGATATATGAAAGATTGGTTTTTAAGAATGCATGCTTTTACGATTTCTAATCTGTGTAATGCATATCTTTACTCCTCTGCACTGTAGCTGCACTTAAAAAGTTATTTCCCATACAATTCTGTGTTTTGACAAATGAGAAAAATTTCCTAAAATAATGCTTTTTTTTACACTGTACATGTCAATAAACTGCATAAACATTATTTTGACAGACACAATCTGATACATACTGATAACAACAGATATTCATGTGCAATTAAGCACAGATCATTGTAAGGACCATGTGAAACAAGTCTACCTAAACATATCAGTTCCCCTGACAGGAAGAGAAAACCATTCTATTTTATAGGCTGTTCTATGTAGAATCTTACAGCACACACATAATCATTATATCTGAGCATCCAGAGACTAAACCTCCTTGATTTCATAAGCAGACACTATACTCATTTACCTGACTGAAGAGACCCTTTCCAGAGATTTTAAATAATGTAAGCAAATTTCATAATACTTTGCCTTATTGCCTAATTTTTCTCACAAGTAGATAGTGTGTTAATCTCAGCAGACAAGCCTAAAAAGAATCTAGCTATATAAATGTACCAATGGTAAAAGCTCTACAAAATTATAAAACAACATTACGTTTCAGAAGTGATGTCATTTTTATTATCAAACTAGTTTTATTAAATATTAAAAAATATTCGCAAAATAAGGTAAGTTTAGTCTTTTGGGATATGAGCTATTTTACTGTCATTTGGATAGTTGAGCTGGCTCGCCTCAAGATGCACCTTAATTGATGTTGAATTTCTAGATTTGTTGTGTCTTATTTTAAACTTGTAGTCTCCAGAGTGAAAAGTAGGACAAAAGATTTGTCATGGCAGATTCAAACCATTGGTTCATCGCATCCTATTTCTGGTAGTGGCCAATACTGTATGCCATAGAAAAAGGCTACATTTTGACAGAGAAAGAATTCCTTGCTACTTCCTAAAACAATGAGCATTAATTTTGATTATCCTCATCAACACATGCATAATTACAAATGTTACCTTGTCGCATGATTTTATCCCTTTGGTCCAGAAGGCGATATTTGTCTTCAGAGGTCTCTGCCACTGAACCAATCAGGTTACTGAGAGAGGATGGTGATACTACCAAACTCTCAGAGTTCTGCCCTTCAGATCCAGAATCAAATGGGTCTGCCTCAAATTGCAACGACTTTGTAAGAGCAGATTTCTTGGCTGGAGAACTAGAAAAAACACAACAGATTTTATCAGTGATATGCTACTGTACATGGTGAAAATAAAAGGGATTACAAGCCTAAGAGAAGTTTTGTCTGGATTTGTCCTCTTAACACATACAGCTGGTCCCCGACTTACGAACGGTCGATTTACGACCATTCGTACTTATGACCAAACCTCCCATTAAGCGTTCATAAGCCGGTTCCTGAGTTACGAATGCAATCCGCTAATTGCTGGCTGCCAGGCTGCAGAGGCTACCAGAGCTGAAGCTGGCTGTTCACAGTGGCTCAGTTCCAGCAATCGCGGTGGCTGATTTGTGCCCAGCAGCAGCACTGGGGCTGAGGCAGCAGCTGGAGGAGGCGGAACAGGAGGTGCCTCCTTCCCTCCTCGCCCCCTCCCACCTAAATAAGCTAGTGGCCCAGCTTACCTCCACGCACCCCCCCACCTCCACCCATGGGGGCTCAAGACGGACTTGGGGATGGGGAGTGCACGAAGGAGGACAGAGTGCATGTCTCCAATGGCTACTCTCCCTGCCCACGCGACAGTAACAGCAATACTCCCTGAGGGGGCAGCCTTGCTCGGAGGAGTGTGGAGTGGAGGCAAAGGGGTGTTGGGTGAGGGCATGGTGGGGTCACAAGGCAAGAGGGTGTTGCCATGGGCTGTAGGGGGATTAAAGGGTGTTTGGCACTGGAGAACAAGGGGCTAGGTTGGGGATAGGCGGACAGGTAACATTTTATTTTAAAATGCAACTGAGCAAAACAAACTGTCACAATAATATAATGTACATTTTATTTTTTTCACCCCACAAAACAGAAGTGGCTGAAGAGATTTTGCTCAATTAGTTAAATAAAATTCACCTTTGGCAAGACAACACGCTTGGAAAACTTCAGCAAGCAAAGAATCTCTCAAAACACAGACTATAACGGTTTGAAATCTTAACTATAGTGGTTTTTATCCAAGACCCTTGCAATGAAAAGAACAGAAGAACAGCAGCGCTTTGGTCTTATAGTCAAAGCAATGTGAGATAACATTAAGGAAAAAAAGCCACAATTATATAACTTAACAGGAAAATACACTAGATATTTGAAAGAGTTTGTGTGTCTACCCACGTGTCTGTCTGCTCAAGAACTCCTAAATCAGGGGAGGGGAACCCTTTTAGGGTCAGGGGCCGCACACAGGCAGGAAGCAACAAAAAAAATAACCTTCAGTGACATGTCCCGTGTGAAGAGAAAGACTCTGTCCAAATTCCCCTTGCATATCAGAGCCTATGAGGGCTCAGCTAGCAGATTTTATGTGCTCTAGCTCCACAGGGGGGGTAGGGTGGAGGGCTGGAGTATCAGCATGGGCTCTGCAATGCTGAAGGGGAGCCCAGAGCTTTGGAGGCTGGATCCAGACAAGCTGGGGGCCACATCCAGCTCCCAGGCCTTAGGGTCTCTACCTCTGTCCTAAATGGTAAGGGCCAGGATAGCCAAATTCAGTATACAGTTTTCTCATATAACACAAAGCTATGGATGTGAATGATCAACTGATTAACCAGTAAGCATCACCCTTACAGGATGATGCTTACTGGTTATGATAAACTGTCAAGGGCTGGAACAGCCCCCCAAATGCTGCAGGCAGGAGTCTACTTGAGCCCAGAAGGGTCCACCACGGGGGCCGAGCCTGGCACACCAAGAGCAGGAGCACTCCAGCCCGTGTCCACAGCAAGCCTGGCCACAGTGAGCAGTGCACCATGGGAATGGATGCTCCAACCTAGCCAGCATAGTCCTTGCCTGTGGGGAGTGGGAGGAGGGGGAGATGCTCCAGCCCAACCATGGTGGGCAGGGATTGGGAGGGTGCTCCAGCCTAACTGGACTGAAGCAGCACCCCATCCATGCCATTTAAGCATGTTTATCTGGTTAAGTGATTAAACAGGATGTTACATCTTTATTCACAGCCCCATAAGGGCTTGGCTGGGCCAAGACAATGGGATGTGTCTGGAAAGGGACTGTGTCCCATAACATCACACAAAAAAGACAGAATCACTAGGTACATGCCCCCCCCCCCTTCTGGGATGGCCCCAGTCCCGAGCTTCCCACCCTTCTGGCGCCCTTTAGTGTAGGCAACAGGGGCTGAATTTCCTTTCCCTCTCCTGATTCCTACAGGAACATTGTTGGCTGTTTCCCTTGGTTAGGGAGCAAGGGGAAAGTGCAGAGTTTGCTGTATTCCTCACTCTGGCTGAGGACACAGGTGGCAGACAAATCTGGACCTGCCCCAGCCAGGGCAACATGCACTCCTCTCCTGACTGTGCCTGCCCGAGCTGCAGCAACCACGGAGAGGAATATCTCACCTTGCCCCAAACTGCTGCAGTAAGAGAGGATGGGAGTAGTCTTCTCTCCTCTGGGGCAGCCTGCATACTGAACCTCTCATCCCCAGACTTAGCCCAGAACAATGATTTAAATGAACCACATACATTTTAATTTTGTTTTCCAAAAAGCAAAAATGAATTGAGCTAAGGACCCAAGCAACACTGGGTAAATCTTCTAGTTAATAAAGAAGGCATCTTAATATCCAGAGACTTTTCTCCACATATAGAAAAACGATCTGATCATCACATAGCTCAACTTTCAAATTTTAAACACAATCAAGAGTTTTCTACATACACTCAGATTTCACCTGGAATGAACAAATGAGAAAGTAAAATATATATACACACACACACACACACACACACACACACACACACACACACACACACACGTAAAGGAACATATCAGAAACTACAAACAACACTTCCATGAATAAATAGGAACATTTTTTTTCCCTTGTATACTCAAAATTATTGTCATTACTAGACATACACTCCGATGGGAAATGCTTGTCATGGAAAAAGTCTCTACCAGCCAGACTCCTAGAGAAACAAACATACCTTTTACTAGGTAGGTTGCTACTGGTAGAGGATCTTATTAAAGATTTGCGAAGAGGGGAATGCTGATAGTTTTGTTCTTCATTGCTTTGTCTTCCTTCATCTTCATCTGCCTTCTTCTCCTTAGACAAAAATTCTCCCTTACCATGATCTAAATAATATACATACCAAATGAGGTCAGATATCTGCCAAATCATATAACGTACATTTTTAAATTTACTTCTTGAAAAAAGGTTTCAATTTTATTTCCTTGTGCTTTTAGAAACCACAGTCCTATGAATTTAAACAGTGTTTGCAAGCTATTTTGCATTAGAGGATGTATCATGCACAAATCCAATTCCACAGTGTAGAACTATGAAGCTTATTGATTCTGTTGCAGATGGAAAGAACGACACACTACAATCGACATAGTTACATAATCTAACATGGAAACAACAAAAGGTTTATTTTGCAATACCAGTATTAGTTTGGCTGATTGTCAGCAAATGTAAATCTTGACTGTCTCAATTTTGGATTTCCCAGATTTTGGATGTCTCTTAAAGCAGACATGTTATGATATGTTCATATATGAATTTTATCTTACACTGTGTTTATCTAAGTGTTCTGTATGTCTCTCAAGACATTTGTATAAACAGGTTCACCTGCATAGACTCATTCTCGGCTGCACGTGGCCTCACAAATTATATCTAAATTCTGTGGAAAGCTGGGGCCATGTCCATGCTCTTTGGCAGCAGCACACGTCTGGTATGTTAGACAGATTGTTCTGGTAAAATGATCAGAAGTGAAATCATTTAAGATGATACTCTTTTCATAATCAGGCTCCAAAGTTGATGTCCTTTTACATGAGACAGTTAAATTCAAGACCTAAATTTAATTCTTAAAGAAAAAAATGAAGTGAGAGGACATCAGATTAGATATATACAGGTCCTTGGAAGAAAATCATCATCACTTCACCACCATCGTCACAAAAGGAGAAACAGCCACAGAAACAGTGTTTTACTTCTGGAGCTCAATTCCAAGTTGGTGCAAACAAAGTGCTACTTCACTGAAATCAACTGATCACCTCCCTCTGACATCATGCCTAGAAGAAACATAGAACATAAAGGCTTACTTGTTTTCTTCTTGTGCCAAAACGTTACTATGTCTTTGTGTAACCCTTTTGCCCTCTTTCTTGCCTGAGCAGCACTGGCCTGAAAAACAGCATGAAATACCAGGTACAATTAGCATCAGAACAAGAGGTAAAGAAGCCTACACAGCTTGTATAAAAATGTGTTTGTTGCACTGGGAGTTCAGCAATCTCCTACATGTCTATAAAAGCTCAAATAACAAAGAGCAAGCAGACCTTCCCAACAAAAGATTGCTTGGTAGTTACACAGAACTGAATTCTGTGGTGCCCTATTTAAGTACTGTATCAGGCTGATAGTGCAAGACTGAAGGTCTCTTCAACCACAGAACAGATCGAGCACATGTTAGCAACAGAGGTCCCATGCTTTTTCCATCAATATACTGACCCGGATCTGATGAGTTAGGAAAGAACAATCCGTTTCACACATACAGAATGGCAAGCAACTATCTAGGAAGGAGCACTGCAGAAAGGGATCTAGGGAGTCATAGTGGACCACAAGCTAAATACGAGTCAATAGCGTGACACTGTTGCAAAAAAAAAGCAAACATGATTCTAGGATGCATTAACAGGTGTGTTGTGAACAAGACATGGGAAGTCATTCTTCCGCTCTACTATGCGCTGATTAGGCCTCAGTTGGAGTATTGTGTCCAGTTCTGGGCACCTCATTTCACGAAACATGTGGAGAAATTGGACGAGGTCCAGAAAAGAGCAACAAAAATGATTAAAGGTCTAGAAAACATGATCTATGAGGCACAGCTGAAGTAACTGGACTTTAGTTTGGAAAAAAGAAGACTGAGAGGGGACCTGATAGCAGTTTTCAGGTATCTAAAAGGGTGTCGCTGGGAGTAGGGAGGAAAAATTGTTCTCCTTGGCCTCTAAGAAGACAAGAAGTAATGGGCCCAACAGTGCCCGGCCTGAAGCCCCCTCCCTGACCCAGCGTCCCCTTCTCTACCTCCTCCTGCATCCAGATTTCCTCCCAGAGCTTGCATCTCTCACCCCTTCCCACACCCAAATCCCTCATTCCCACCCCAGAGCCTACACATCCTGCCTCAACCCAGAGCGGGTAAGGCTAGACTGTAGGAGTTTTTCAGGATTCTGGAGATATCCCAGAAAAACACTTCAGCATCCAGGGATGTGTTTCTTCTTCCGCTTTTTTTAGTGCAAGAGCAAACGTGCTCTTTCAGTAATCCCTCTATTCCTCTTTCCACAAGGAATCAGGGGTTTTTCTGACATTTGGTCCAGTCTAGACAGGCCAAATGTTGGAAAAACCTCTTCCTACAGAAGAACTGGGGGAAAAAAGCAGCAGTATAAGGGTTGGGGATAGCAAGTGATGGAGATGAGGAGAATAGAGAGGAAGGGGCGGGGCTTCAAGGAAGAGGCGGGGGGGTAGATCTTGGCTTGTTCTGTCATTTAAAAAGTGATCGTGGGTATAAAAAGGTTGGAGACCACTGATATAGACCATGCTTGATCCTGCCAAGAGAGCAGGGGACTGGACTTGATCTCTCAAGGTCCCTTCCAGTTCTGGTGTTCTATGAATATAGTCTGGCGTCTAGACAATTGACTGGTTACAGCAGAAATCCATTTACTTCACTACTGTGATTGGCTGTATACATCAAGGACAAATATTTAGATACTACACATATATTTTTAAATTTACATTAAATACTCACATGATCAAAAAAATGAATAATAGCGAGCTTTTTGTTGCGCCTGGTAAAGATGCGCCGGACTTTTGACCGTCCAAAATGCTTCTCAAGAACATTCCTGTCATTAAGGTAGTCAGGGATATTTTTGCACTGGATTGCTGTGAGTTCACTTGGTGACAAGCCACCAAGGCTGTCCACACTCTCACTGCTTCGATTTCGACGTGAAGGGGTCACTATAGCAGAATCTGAAAGTGTTGAAAGAATCCCCAAATCAGGCTCTAAAACTGTGCCTTCTTATTTTGGATCTCAGAAATTTTTATATTAAATCAGAAATTTGTATTAAGCAGGAATACTGACACCTGCAGCACATATTTACATTGCAGATTGAATTATCAGAGTGTTTTCATTAACTAATGAAATTCTCAATTAAAACAAGGACATTAAAAGTTTTCATGGCAACTTTAACCAATCCCTATAATTAAGAATCCTTTATTACAACCGGCAAACTATGCAATTGCTAGTATACAGTTTAAGGAAGTTAAGGATTAGTCAACTATCCAATAAGCAAAAACTCATCGGATAGTTAATCAACTAGTCGATTTCCCCTCCTTGCTGCCTCTATTGCCGGCTCAGCCATGCAGTGCTGCCCTTCGAACTCCACCTTGGCATTTCAAGGGGGCAGCCCCACACAGCTGAGCCTGAGGCAGCGTTTCAAAGTGGCTCTGTGGAACCTGGGCTGAGCTGGGGACTCCCCAGCTCATCCCGGGCTCCGAGATTTCTGCAGAACCCGGGGTCAGCTGTGGAGTACTGGGAGTCCCCATCTGATCCTGGGTTCCACTGAAATGCCACGGGGAGCCAGGGATCAGCTGGGGAATCCCCAAAAGACCCAAAAACCACACGCCATTTCAAATTGGCAGCACAGCATGGAACCCCAGGCTCCATGCTGTGCTGCGTCTTTGAAATGCACAAAAGCCCCCGCTGGGGATGCTCGTACATTTCAAAGCTGGCACACCACATGCAGCCCAGAATCAGCGTGTCTTCCCGCTGGCCCCAGGCTGCACGCAGAGTTCCGCATTCTTCTTTGGGAACGTACAAGAGTTCCAGCAGGGGCTCCTGTACATTTCCAAGGAGAAATGTGGAAGTGCCTATCGACTAGTCAAGTAATGGATGGCAATTCCCTCGACTAGTCAATTAACTGCAATTTAACATCCTTAGTGCAGTTATGTAATTTTAAAATATGGTTCAGTTATGTGGCGGCATGAAAATGGACTATGAACTACACCACCACAAATAGTTGGTTATGAAATGACACTAAATAAGGTGAGATGTAAACAGGTTCTTTTTTGTTAAAAAGTATGTATCAATGGATTAGTAAGAATTCAGTTTTCGTATTCCTGAAACTCCAGAATGAGGGAATGGCATGTACAGAACCATGATGAGTGGCATGGAAGGTAAAGGGAGAAGAGGAAGATGAGATAAAAAGTACATAAAGGAGAATGGAAGACAAGAAAAGGGAATATAAGAAGGAACTCTGAGAAACAATCCACCCTGCAAAACAAAAATCAAACACCGAGTACATTTTACAGAAATTTCTGCCTGAAGAGCAGCACAATTATGTATCACTTGAAATAAACTAAGCATAACAAAACATAAATACAATAGCAACCACAAAAGGAACTGAGAAAAGAGATGTGTGTTCTATACATTCCTCAATGCCCAACTTGTACGTTTTCCTTACTGGTCCACAACGTCTACTATTTGTCAGTAAATTCCAATCCCTGAGAAGAGTAATTAACTTTTGATTAATGCCACTGAGGTAAGTCTCTATTATACTGTGATTTTTGACTAACCAAAGGAAGAAGTATCTCTAATGAGAAGCAACACCAATGTATTCAAAAGTATGTGCTGTTCAGTCCTTAATCACAACAGCAACAATCACAGTTGGGAACAACAATTGGAAAGGGCTCCTCCAGGGTAGGACATAAGAAAGCAGTAGGCCTTCAGAGAGGAAAACAAAGAATTCCTATGAAACACAAAACTTTAAAGAGAGCAAGCCTGTCCTGCTAACTTCAGCTCTCAGTAGCCTTCATTTCCAATACCTGATTTACTGAGTAGCACTGATTTCTAGCACTTACCTTGCTTAGTTTTCTCTTCAATTTGCTCTGTCACTTCTTCCTCCTTTAATGGGGTCGAAAGCCGTGGTCCTGCAAACACAGATGGACTTGTGCCCAACACCTGTTCATTTTCTCCAGATTCTATGGATAATCTTTCCTTTTTTGGCTCTTTTTTAACACGTCCACTGTCTTTATTGCTTTTCAGCACATCCTGCAACGTTCGACTAAACAAGCCTCCTCCTCCACGTGGCCGGTTTAACCGAACAGGCCGCTTATCGGGAGGATAATCATTCCTAGATGCAATCTCTGACTCCTCTGCAACATCATAATCCCGTCCTCTTGGGGAACGATCTCGTTCTTCTTTTCTTTTCATTCCTTTAACATGGCTGTCAAGTGGCTCACTCTGAGCGTCATCATGTTCTGATTTAGTTGCTGTACTGAGTTGGAAGTTTCCTCCCAAATCTAAGGACCCAGAAGATGAGCTAGGAAAAGTAGTGAAGCTGCTGCTAGGACTTCCAAAGAGTGTCTTTGTTCCTTTATGGTCATCCTCAACAGTTCTGCTTAGTACAGAAGAGGCAAAGGAAGATGAAAAATTACTGCTGCTAGCTGGTTTTGAAAAACTGAAGTTTGTACTAGTGCTAGAGCTACTAGTGTCTTGGGAAAGTCCAAAAGGGGCCAGTATTCCAGGCCCACTACTAACCGGATGGGAAAATGTAAAAGATGTTGGCATGCGCTGGCTTTGTGTTTTTTCTGGCTCAGAACCAGCACCAAAGATTGGTTTAAACACTGCATTTTCTGGAGTTTTAAAACTGAATTCTGATCCCACAAAGCCACTACTTGAAACTTCTCCAGGAGCAACTCCAAAATTAGAACCATTCTGAAAAGTTCCAAGATTAGTAGGTGGTTTAAAACTGAATCCTTGGTTTCCAACAATAGAAGAGTTAGGTGATGGAGAAGTAGTCACAAAAGAAGTAGGCTGTCTAAGACCATAAGCCTGTGTAAACCCAGAGGGTAGCCCAAATCCCACAGCTTGCCCTGAAGTGGCCTGGCTTAATCCTGAAGGCTGAGTAAAGCTGGATGGCTGGGCAAACCCAAGGTTCTGTACAGGTCCTCCACTGCTCTGTCCAAACAGTGATGGCTGACCAAATCGAAATGGTGTTTGAGCTTGAAATATTCCGACAGAACTATTAGAAGGTGCTTGGAAAACAGCAGGCTGCTGTCCACGAAAAGGACTGTTAGGGTTCATCTTCAAAAATAAAAATTAGCAAGTATCTTCCAACGAGAGTTCATGCCTCGAACATCCATTTACTTTCACCTTCCAGCCAGCCATTCTAGCAATCTGAAACACAAATGTGTACATTAAATTAAATTTTCTAATTGATTTCCATTTATAACAGGGAAGTTCAACCAAGCAAATTAACAACAGCTTTATCCTATATCTTTGCAACATCCTAATAACATTTTACTATGTTTAAAAAATATGCTTGCATCTTGTTCTCTCTCTTCTGTGGTTTCCAATCCAAGAAATGACTGTTATAGAATCAGAGCTGGAAGAGACCTCAGGAAGTCATCAAATCCAGCCCCGTGCCCAAGGCAGGCCCAATCCCAACTAAATCAACCCAGCCAGAGTTTTGTCAGGCCAAGACTTAAAAACCTCTAAGGATGGAGATTCCACCATCTCCCTAGTTAACCCATTCCAGTGCTTTACCACCCTCCCTAGGGAAATAGTTTTTCCTAATATCCAATCTAGACCTCTCCCCCTGTAACTTGAGACCACTGCTCCTTGTTCTGCCATCCATCACTACTGTAAACAGCCTTTCTCCATCCTCTTTGGAACTTCCCTTCAGGAAGTTGAAGGCTGCTATCAAATCTGTTGCATAAAAAAGCCTTCGCCTGAGCTTACTTGATTTAAATACATGGATTTTCTGAAACTACACCAAATTATAAGATCTAAGGTTTTAAACTGCAACTCATTGTGATCTTTGTCAAACTTTGTAATCTGTGTAACTCTCAGAAATTTACTGAAGGTGCAACTTTGTAATCTTTTTAACTCTCAGCCACCTTGCTTGTAACTTTCCCTAAAGTGCATTCTCCCCCCCTGGGTGAATGGAGAGAGAGTGTGAGTGTGTTTGAAGAAGACTGGGAACAATGGAGCACATTTCAATGAGTCATTGCAGTCTGGGCATGCTCTCTGCTGGATAAAGGGGAGTCTGGGCATGCTCCCTGATGGCAAGGTGAATGAGTCACAGGAGACATTCAGACACTATATAAAGAGACGGAGCACAATGGTCTCCCCTCCTGACCAGCTTCCCCAGCCATGATGATCAGACAAACCCTCCAGGATCCACATGCCTTGGCTCCTTCTGCAACCCATATGTCTGAGGGCAGGAATGAATGGATGTGAATGAGTGAATGAATGGAGAGAGAGAGATCGATCTATCTTCTTTAGTTTAAATTTTTGGTGGCTGCTTTCTCCTCTTTAGTCTTACCTAGTGGAAATAAACCCATACTAGTGTAACCCTGGGTGGTCTCCAGTGAGAATATTTTTGGAATAACAAACCCCCCCCTCACTCTTCTCTTCTGCAGACTAAATAAACACAAATCCTTCAGTCTCTTTTGATAAGTCATGCGCTCCAACCCCTAATCATTTTGGTCCCCTGCCGCTGTCTCCCCTCCAATGTGTCCACATCCTTTCTATAGTGGGGGGGCCAGAACTGGACACAATGTTCAAGATGTGGCCTCACCAGAGCCAAATAAAGGGGAATAATCACTTCTCTGGATCTGCTGGCAATGCTCCTCCTAATGCATCCCAATATGCCATTAGCCTTCTTGGCTACAAGGGCACACTGTTGACTGTCATCCAGCTTCGCAGCCACTGTAATCCCCAGGTCCTTTTCTGCAGAACTGCTACTGAGCCAGTCAGTCCCCAGTCTCTAACAATGCTTTGGATTCTTCCGTCCCAAGTGCAGGACTCTATACTTGTCCTTGTTGAACCTCACCAGATTTCTTTTGGCCCAATCTTCCAATCTGTCCAGGTCACTCTGGACCCTATCCCTGCCCTCTGGCGTATCTAGCTCTCCCCCTATCTTAGTGTCATCTGCAAATTTGCTGAGGGCGCAATCCATCCCCTCATCCAGGTCATTAATAAAAATGTTGAACAAAACCAGTCCAAGAACAGATTCTTGGGGTACTCTGCTAGAAACCAATCACCAACCTGACATCGACCCATTGATCACTACCCGTTGGGTCTGACAGTCTAGCCAGCTTTCTATCCATCTTAGTCCATTTATCCAATCCATATTCCCTTAACTCGCTGGCAAGAATATTGTGGGAGATTGTATCAAAAGCTCTACTAATTTCAAGGTATATCACATCACTGACTTTCCCGTATCTACAGAGCCAGTTACCTCTCCATAGAAGCTAAGCAGATTTTTCAGGCATGACTTACCCTTGGTGAATCCATGTTGACTATTCCTGATCACTTTCCTCTCTTTCAAGTGCCTCAAAATGGATTCCTTGAGGATTCCCCCCCATGATTTTTCCAGGGACTGAGGTAAGGCTGAATGGTCTGTAGTTCCCTCGATTGTCCTTCTTCCCTTTTTTAAAAATAGGCACTACATTTGCCTTTTTCCAGTAATCAGGGATCTCCCCCAATCTTCACAAGTTTTCAAAGATAATGGCCAAAGGCTCCGCAATGACACTTGCCAGCTCCCTCAGTACCCTCAGATGCATTAAATCCGGACCCATGGATTTGTGTATGTTTAGCTTTTCTAAATAGTTCCTAACTTGTTCTCTCCCTACCAAGGACTGCCCACCCTCCTTCCCATACTGCGTTGCCTAGTACATTTGTCTGGGAGCTGACCTTGTCCATGAAGACAGTGGCAAAGAAAGCATTGAGTACTTCAGCTTTTCCCACATCATCTGTCACTAGGTTACCTCCCTCATCCAGTAAGGGCCCCACACCCTCTCTGATCACTCTGTTATTGGTAACATGTCTGTAGAAACTTTTCTTGTTATCCTTCACATCCCTTGCTAGCTGCAATTCCAATTGCGCTTCGCCTTCCTGATAACTCCCCTACATTCTCGAGCAATATATTTATACTCCTCCCTAGTCATCTGTCCAAGTTTCTACTTCTTGTGAGCTTCCTTTTTGTGTTTAAGCTCACCAAGGATGTCCCCGGTAAGCCAATCTGATCGCCTAACATATTTGCTTTTCTTGCTGCACATCGGGATGGTTTCTTCCTGTACCTTTAATAAGGTTTTTTTTAAAATACTGCCAGCTCTCCTGGATTCCTTTCCCTTTCATTTAAGCATCCAAGGTTATCCTGTTGTTGGATTTGTGGTGGTCTCTACTGTACAGGTAAGAGTACATTTCCTTGCGCTCCCTTCAGGCCTTAAACACTATTACTCTAACTTTCTCCTTCATCCCATGATTAATTATTTTTCTTAACAGTCCTGTGAAGGACTTTTTAAAAGTTCTAATGCACCAATTTTTTACTCATTATTTTGCTGATAACCTCAAACAATTTGAATATACTGAGGAAAGAGAACTTCCCTTTACAGAAGGCATACCATTTCATCCCTTCTATATCATATTCATAGGCCCATTAAAATTATCTGTAATTATTGTTCAACTATTTAACCTAGAACCATAGTAGCATACACTAGGATTGCTTCTATTGCTCTTTTTAAAGATAAGTAGCTGAACGGGACAATGTAGACACACAGTAGTTGAATAGTATAATAGATTGCATTGCTTTGCTAGCAATTCAGTTACTTTACTAACTTTCTTCAAAACTCCTGGATGTACCATACAGTCTTTATGACTTGATGCTATTTAATCAGTTTGTTCCAAACCTTATTCTTTTGACAACTAAGTCTCTGACAATGCCTTGTTCTTTATTATCTGAAAAGTGTAGGTCAGGATAGCTAGCTCCCTAACACCCTCTGTTGTGAATACTAAAATTATTTAGCTTCTCTGCAGTATCCTTTAGGGATGTTAAATTTAGATTAATAGGTTAATCGAATAGTCAATGCAATTTGCATCAACTATTTGATTAGTCTATAAGGGAGCCTTGCCTCTGAAGTGCTGGAGCTACACATCAAAGACGAAAGCAATGCAGGGAGCTCTGGGCCAGCGGCGGACTGCTTAAGTTTCAAAGTGGCAGCGCAGCATAGAGCTCCATACAGCATTTTAAAGGAGCAACACCCAGCCACTTCCCCTCCCCCAGCCCTTTGCTGCCTCTTTCTGATAGAGGCAAAAGGGGGGGGGGGGGGAGGGTGGCTAGTCGACTAGTATGGACTATCAATAAGCTTTTGCTTATCAGATAGTCGACTAGTCTTTCACATCCCTAATGTCTTTCAGTCCCTGGTAGTCTAGTGCACCATTAATTTCTTTAGAGGATTCCTAGTTCTGATAGACCAGAAAGCTCATACCACCACATGTTTTGTTAGTCAGTGCTACCAGATTATTTGTTGTTTCTTAAGTTTATCCTGAACAATTGTTTGTTTTGCTCATTTTCCAACTGCTTCTCTAAATCCCTCAGCCTTCTTAAACCATAAAGTAGGAATTACCTACTATACATGTGACCGTGACAATGAAGGCCTGGATCCTGCACCTGCAGGCACTTTCATCAATGAAAAGGTTCTGAGTGGGTATAAAAGTATACCCTCTCTCCAAGTTACAAACGAGTTACAGACCAAACACTTCGCCGTAACAATCCGTTTGTAACTCAGACCCCACTGAGTTACACGTGACTGCACTGTTCGTAAGCGTGGGTCGCATTTGTAAGTCGGGGACTGCCTTTACGACCGCTCCATGGGAGCTTTGGTCATAAGTGCAAACGCGCAACTCGGGGAGCGGCTGTATGCCCATACAGATCAGATGCATGGTAAGGCCCTAATTTGTTAACATCAACGCTAAGGATATTTTTTCACTTTTAACTTTAAAGGCTTTATGACTAGCTGCCTTTAAAAAAAAAAAAATCTACTGCAGTGTTTTAGGTACTACCCTTTCCCTGAAAATGTTATGATTAATTTTACTGCATTTACTGATACTTAACTGCTTAGCTACTTTTTAAACCATTTACTGTATGCTATTTTCAAGAGACTGCTGCACAGGAAAAAGGAAATTAAGGCAGAGCCTAAGTTTTCCCAGAATAATATACCGTAACTACTCACTCCAAGAAGCAGCCAGGCTACAGTTGGGCCACAACCAATACCCTTATTCTGAAACTCATGTTTCCATGTGGAACAGAGATAGTCCCAAAAGGGGGGCACACCTGAACTTGGGGGGCTTGTTCATATAAATATATACAAAAAGCCATAATTCAAAGCACAAAGGAACACCTGTAGTCCTGACCGCATAGCCTAACCTACACTTTCATTTCCGTGCATCCCACCCAATTTTAATGGGAACAGCTGTTCAGAAACAGAAGGTAAATGTAAGAATGTGAGGCTACGTCTACACTGGCATGATTTTCTGGAAATGCTTTTAACGGAAAAGTTTTCTGTTAAAAGCATTTTCGGAAAAGCGCGTCTAGATTGGCAGGACGCTTTTCCGCAAAAGCACTTTTTGCGGAAAAGTGTCCGTGCAGCCAGAGCTTACTTTGCCGTGGACAAGTTTACAACTCTAACAAATCTAATTTCTAAGGTCCAAATAAGCCCCCAGATTTTGGCAAGAAGTTATCTTCAACTGCTACAACATATGGCAGCTTGAAGTTTCATAATGCAGCAAGCCATGTCACATCTTTGCTGCTTCCAGGGATGGTTCAGAACAGTCTATATTCCAAACAGCCTAGACAAGCTAGTGTCTGTCCCTTTCTGGGGACTGGACTCATTCAGTTGTTAGAAGGACCCTTCCGAAGTAGGGATGTAACCAGTTAACTGGCGGAGGCTGGAGCAGCTCTTCCAATGCCGGGCTTTAAGAAGTGCAGTCAATGCCACGAGGCAATGCCTGCCTCAGACGGACACGCGCTGTGCATCAGGTGCCTTGGCCAGCCGGATCTAATTGCCATGCTGCATGGCTGCACCCAGCCGGCCAGATCTAAGCGCTGCACAGCGCAGCTCCCAAAGGCCGGGTCCAGCCCCCGGCCAGCAGCATCAAAGTGCCACGACCTCCTGGGAAGACATCCGCCACCCTCTCATGGCTTGCACACCATTACTCTGGGGCACACGTCAGACAGGGGCTGTTCTGGCATGGTTGGAGCAGCCCTTACTTGTGGCAGGGGCGGGGAGATGTTCCAGCCAGGCTGTACCAGCCCCCTGCTCATCCATTGTAATCAGTTAACCAGTTAAACAACAGGTTTAGCAGGTTAGCCAATTAACCAGAATTGTACATTTCTAATATAAAGTGAACCAAGAATAGTGGTAACACACAAGGGGGCCAAGTGTGAGCCCGGGGCAAGGAGAAGGACTGGGAGAATCAGGAATAAGGGCCGCAGGGCAGTGCTCGGGGGCAGGGTTGGGGAATGGGGGGGGCAGGAAACAGGTTTTGGGGGAG